ATCAACTCATAAAAATAAATACCTATTGAATCTTTATAATTAAATACGCGAATAAGGCACAAATTATTATACACCCAACCCTTAATAACTTATCGATTTAAGTTGTACCAACTTTGGGCGTTGTGGGGTGTGAATACACTTCCCCACACGTAATCGTACTCCCGAACCCCAAATCTCTAAAATTTCGCAGACCAAATCCCGATTCTGACCTCGAGGTTGGAATCAGACAAAAGGCGTTCGATCCACCAAGAATAAGATCGATGGCGATTCCGAACGATTCGCGACGGATCCCCCGATCTCGAAGGGAAGGTTCCGACACAATGAACACGGATATTTTCGGCCGCAACGAGGGATCCAGCAAGGGGATCCATTATCCCCCTTGTTGTTTGCCATCTACACAGAAGCTTTCTCCGTCCTACTTCATAATGCCATTAACTCACAGCAGCTCCATGGGTTGAAAATTCACAGGTTTGCACCTACTGTCTCTCACCTCTTTTTCGCAGATGACACATACCTGTTCTTGCGGGCAACAACATCGGAGTGTACGCATCTGATTCAGCTACTGCATTTATTTTCAGAGGCCAGCGGACAACGCATCAACCTGCAAAAGTCCTCGGTTTGCTTCAGTGCTAATCTGGTGGATCAAGAGGCAGCCGCAATGGCAGCTCTGCTTGGGATTTCTTCAATTGGGCCGCTAGACAAGTATCTTGGCCTACCTGCTCAAGTCCAGAGATCTAAGGTTCAGACTTTTCTTTTCGTGGAGGATGCCCTCGCTGTTCGCATCCAGAGTTGGCGATCTAAAGGCTTTTCGTTGGCTGCAAAAGAGGTAATGATTAAGGCAGTTGGATCAGCAACTCCGGTCTACACCATGTACTCCTTCAGACTCCCCTCCACTACTTGTAGTCGATTAAACAGCCAGCTGGCTAGGTTCTAGTGGGCTGGTTAAGATAAAGAAAGAGGGATGCATTGGATTTCCTGGCCAGCGATTTTTGTTAGTAATTTTCGTGGAGGTTTGGGGTTTCGGGATTTCGATCTGTTCAATGTGGCAATGCTTGCCAAACAAGCTTGGAAAATTCTCTCGACCTCGAACTCTCTCCTTGCAAGGCTCTACAAGGCGCGGTATCACTCGCAGTGTCAGTTTCTCGATGTACCAGCAGGGTCTCGCCCTTCGTGGGCATGGCATGGGGTCTTGGAAGGTCGGGACTTGCTCAAGAAGGGGTTACGGTGGCAGGTTGGGTGTGTTCTACTATTCGTATTATTGACGACCCCTGGCTACCTTCATCGCCTCCTTCTTCTCCCATTCTGCTGCCGGGTATCTCGCTCTTGAACCCTTTTGTTGCTTCACTTATTAAACCCTTTACTCAGACCTGGAACATGGATTTAATCTGTACCTCCTTCATCCTCGAGAGCGTTAACTGGATTCTCTCCATCCCTCTCCCTTCGGCGCCTTTACCGGATAAGCTGATATGGCACTACTCCGTGACTAGCCTCTACACCGTCAAGTCTGGGTATCAGCCGCTAGCCTCAGAAGGGAGCTTGAGTTTGACAATCTTCCTTCTCATCTTAACACCGCGTTCTGGAAGACCCTATGAAATTTACCGATATCGCCGAAGCTCAAGTTCTTCTTGTGGCGCGTCGTGTGCGGCTTCCTCCCTATGCAATCGATACTATTGGGGAAGACTCTTTCCGATTCTGACATTTGCCCTGTTTGTTCCGAGTCAATTGAGACAATTTCTCACTGCTTCTTTGAATGCAGAGTTGCGCGTGGAGTGTGGTTACTTGCAGGGAAGGAGCGGATTCGAACAGCAATGGCCAATCTAACCCCTGACCTTGCATGGCATAAGGTCTTTTTTTCTTTGCAGCTATCCAAAACTGAAATTCCAGAGGTTGTGTTCATAACTTGGCGCATTTGGAAGGGCCGTTGCTGGTCAACATATGATAAAATTCAATATCTCCCTGGTCCACTCTACCGGCAATATACCAAACAATTAGAGGAATGGTGGGAGGCCACTGCAGCTCCACAAAGTCGGCTGCCACCTTCGGGTCAATCTAGGAGCCTACCAGCATCTCCAACCTGCCCAAACGGGGGTCTACTAATCAGGTTCGATGGTGCAACGCGACGGGGAACAGGAGGCAGCATAGGCTTTGTTGGTTTCACTGTCGACAGGTCAGTTGTCTGCGCGTACGGTAAGTCTTATGCTGGTATTTCGGATCCCTTCCTAATGGAACTTCTGGCTTTGCGAGATGCAATGGTATGGAGTCTAAACCATGATTACTTGTCTGTTTGCTTTTGTGGGGACTCCCAATTGGTGATCCGGCGAGCAACGGAGGGTGATGTCAGCCATGATCGAGGCGGAGCAGTACTTGAAGAAGTGCGGCTGCTAAAGACTTCATTTGCTCTTATTTCTTTTATTTATGCTCCTCGTAGTACTAACAGGGCTGCCCATCGCGTGGCACAAACGGCCCTTGCATCGGTAGCAACCCATTTGGTTGACTACCGCTCTTTCCTTTCAAATGCATTGTAATACCCTATCTATTACAAACTATCTATGACAAAAAAAGGGACATCTGAAAAGTAGGGTTGGCAGTTGGTGTCCGGTTAGCGGGGTTAACCGCCTGTTATAACCAAACATTATCGGTTACCGGTTAACCTAAATACAATGGACGCTTGTCCTCTAGCGGTGTTCGGAAAGGCATCTGGACGCTCCGGTTAACTGAGTAACGGGAGGCGATTGACCACAGTTACACGGCTAACCGACGCCCCACCGAAATTTCTCCCTTTCCCCCAAAACGGCAGAAAACTAATCCCCCCAATTCTCGAGCCAACCTAGAAACCCTAATCCCTTATAGCTTCGACCCTTGCCTCCCCGAATCCGCGCCTCGTCTCCGCCCACTCCCATCCCCGATTCGCCGTCGCATCTCCTCCGACTCTGCCTCCGTCGGCGGCGATGTCGAGCAGCAGTGTAGGCAAGTCACGCCTCAACCCAACTCCCTTTTGGTCATCCCCGATTCACCTTCGCGCCTCCGCCTTCGAGTTCACCTCTGTCAACGTCGTCATCGAGTAGTAGAGAATGCCTCCCCCTCCGTCGTCGTTGAGTGGTTTGTCGCATCCGCCCACGTGCTTCCTCTTTCCCGCGATCGCAAGAAGGAATTGAGATTTCAATTTGGGTGATTCAGATGTAGTTTTGATACTTTGATTTGGGTGAATTATGCTTGGAGGGCTGCTCTCGGTTCGATTACCAATTTAAACCGACGCCAACTCCGTGTTTTCCTGCTCATCAGCCAACCACGGTTTACATCAATAACTGACCGGTCAGTGCCACGATTAACCATTGGTGTCCGTCAGTCGGTCATAGACAGTCCAGACAGTGTTATTCGACTAACCGAAACTGACCAAAATCCAACCCTACTGTGTTACCATTTTTAGAGGGGCATCAATACTCTCCGTTGGGTGCCAAACCCAAATCCAAACTCATGGGTTTATCCGTGAAAAAAAACTCGGGGTAAAACCCAACCCGCTGGGTATCCAGGAGTTCATGGGTACCCATGGGTTTTTGCCGTAAAAAATTTACAATAACTAGTTCCTATAAAAAAAAAGTCAAATATCAATCTCTCAATACAAGTTATCCATATATAAAAACACTATTCTAGAAAATTCAAACAAATCACAAATTAACCACACAAATTGTTCAACACCAAACTTGAAAACTTAAGAAAATTGAAGCAAATCATAAATTATCCATAAACAACATTATTAATTGAAAACTTCTTCCTCCTTGTCAATTAAGATTCTTCACTCTCCACTCGATAATATCAACTTCATTCTAGACAATTAGAAAAAAAAAATTAAACATGTCTCCACAAACATAAAGAAAATTAATTGTTTAGAATATTAAATATACCGAGAAAATTAATTGTGTGGGTGTGGGCGGGTACCCATAGGGCGAGTTTACCTAAACCCAAATCCAATCCAACCCGGTGAATAGTGAACGAGTTTAAAACCAAATCGGCCCAAAATCCGTCAACGCGGATTGTACATGCGTTGACCAGATTGGGTCTAATAGGGCATCCATTGGTTCGTGTTTTGTTGCTATCTCTAGTCACATTCTAAACAATAATGGGAGATAGGAATAAAGGGACTGCTACCCACAAAACTTATCCAATATATTTTAAGTGATTCGGCGACCACAAACTAAAGATAAGCAAGCAAACAAAGCGTTCTGATCAAATATGAAGAGAAAGGGTATCGCTACCCTCCAAATCACCAAATATCGCAAGTGATTCTGCAGCCACAAACCGAAGATAACAAGCAAACGAAGCATTCTTATCAATCAAAGAGAGCATGTTGGAAAAGGACTACCAGAAGACTGAAAGTGACTCCAAGATCTCAGGCGACCATCCAATATCAGAACACCACGCCAAATCCACTTTATTTGCTACTAAGATTATTCTCATAAAATCTTGCAGAGTTCTGCATGGTAGCTACATACATGATGATGAGGAAGGAAGCATTACGCCCCAGGTTTCACTATTTACAGACTTTTCACCATATTTACAACAAAAGAATAGCAGACATAGACAGGGTAGAAAACACACACTCACACACCTCCCCCTTCAGTTATTTCTATATTTCTTACAGCACAATAATTGGCGCCCTTTCTCTGAGTCAAGATCAACAGAAGAAAAAGGCCACAGAATGTCCCCCCTTCCGACCATTGTTATTAGGCTAGAAGTACCGGACTGAAAGTTCAACTGCTTCCACTGCTTCATTCGTCGTAGCTCCTCCCTTCCGTGTCTTATCTTGTGATATGTCCATGCTGATTGATGAGACTGAGACACAATGATATCTTTTTTTCTTTTCTTTTCTAGTTATTCTTAAGCTTCTCATAGTATTTTACACATTATACGTGTCTGGCATGTACTTTCGCGTTCGAGATAACCAGAGGACAGTTCCTCAGCATATAGCAGCAGCAGAAGCAGGCCTCTAGAAGCACCTAGTGTCAGACATCACGCAGTGAAGAGATCCATTGTTCTATATACGTATTGCTACCTGAACATTTGAGAATGTTCATGCTTGAGGAATTAGAGTGCAGCCTACAAATGCAAGTCGATTATACGAGCCCTAACGAAATTTTCACTCTTTCTATTCTAGTTGAATAGTCTTCGAAACAAAGAGTAGCCGGAGACAGATGCAGCCATACCTTGAGAAAAACCATCAGGGATGTTGACAACTGCACCAATTGTTCTCTGCACGGAGTCTTGAAGCTGGTTACCCTTAGCATGACCATAACATGGGACTAGAACAGCAAAGCTGCCATCAGTGTCCTCACCACTCTGGAATCCTGGTCCATGAGGCTCCAGCCAACCAATTGAATAATCAGAATCATCAGACTCTGAACCAGAAACACAACCACCATCAGATGGCACAAGAACCACGTCATACTCCCGATCGATTCTCCTTTCTTCCCGGCTAGGCCATTTTCTCTTCACTCTTCTGGATGAGGAGGAGGCCATACCTCGCCCCTTGGCCAATGGGAATCTCAATGTATCGGATTCCAATAGATCTGGATCCTGCCTTAAAGATCATCCATTGGAGATTCTGGGCTCCCTAGACTTCCCACTCCACAACCACTGTGAGAGATTTGTAAATGCCACTGCCATGTAGCTCCACACAGATGTTCACAGAATGAGGAATCAGAATTATCCCAAAGCTTCCTTCCAACTGTTGAAAAAGGAAATAAGCATTCAAGTAGCGCCAAAGTAATATACAAAGGAAACCAGTGGACAATCAAACCCTTAAGCTTCCCTTCCTTCTATCATTCTACATCAAAGCCAAACGCCCCCATGCTGAAAAATCCTAAAACTAGCAGCTTTTGGTGAGACACAAGAACATGAAGAACGGATATTTATGAAGGGAAGAGAACTCATGTAAAACAAAGCTTCAAGATTGTCTCACGTCTCGAGGCCTATAGCAGTTTTCCCGTCAACCAAACACAAGTTTCCAAATTATTATTCAGGTAACATCACAAAGTATACTTCTGAAACGCCATGGTGAGAAATACAATGAACCGGGACATATCCATCAAAAGCGTCCACGAAGAGAAGAATCTAAGCGTTGCCAAACAAGACCAATCACAAAACTAAGACCCAAAACGCGAAGAAACCAAAACAACCCCCAACCGGAAACTCAACATGAAAACCGCCAATTTCATAATTTAGTGTAGAAGTGGGTCATTCTTCAATTATGACGATGATACCCATCTCACAAGAGGAAAAGTTGTTTGACTTTTCTATCTTCCGAGGAAGGGAAAAGGGTGTGGGAGGAAAAAGCTCGCGTCTTTGCGGGGAAAGAAATCCCAAAACTTTAGATGCAAGTTGCGAAACCCAAGAGACGCGTTGAATTGAATAGGAAGCCGCAGCAAAACTTGTGGGTTAGACTTGGTATATCTAGTGCGAGATACCTTGGAATGCAGAAGAAAGCTAGGAGAAGAAAGCGAGCAGAAGCCTCAGATCAAGAAACGAAATACCAAAAATGGCGGAGGAGTGCCCTAATCGCTGAATCGGGCCCGTGAGGAGAAGAGGAGAGGAAGATTGAGTGGGACTGTTATTGAATTCTGGAGGTCGCAATCGGGAGAGCTTCTTCTTCTAATATGCTCGGCTCACTACTCTCCTCTCATCCAAATGATTTTCGTATTAATAAAAGCTTTGATTGATTGAATGAATTTCCTTTGACAATAAATAAATAATAACCTGCCAAAAGAATAGTAGTAGCAAGCCTGATCTGGCGTGGTGCTTTTATCAAATGGGCTAAATTAGCCTCATCTGCCTAATGTTTTAAAATAAAAAAATAGCCCACCATTAAAATCTAGACATGGCAAATCACGACACGATATGTAATCCATTGACATGATCTAAACCCGCTCGAAAAATAGTAATGTTTTATAATTTGAAATCCGAATGATCCAAATCTAATTAACCTGTAATTTTTTGGGTCAGGATGGGTGGGTTATCGGATCGACTCGTTAGACCCACTCCATTTCATATGTCACTCCCAAAATGATAAAAACACTCATAAATTGGTGAGATATTAAAAAAAAAATTCACAAGGATTTGAAAGACATGTTGGAGTTTTAGGATAATCATAATATCATGTGTTTATTGTAGTAGTATTACTCTTGTGATTGTTTTTTAACGATTTGTGCAATTCGTATTTCATTACATAAATGGGAGGATTTGAGAAAATGTTAATTGACATGTGTTGGGTAAACTAGTACTATGCATATGTTAAGATTTGTGTTTTAAAAAAAAAATATGAAACATGTTTGATATTGTTTTTGAGAACGCTCATAACCCGAAGCGACATGTAACCCGACCCGAAACCCAAAGGGTTGGGTCAATATTTGAGCAAAATCTGTCAACCCAACATGACCTGACTCGTAACTCGAGACCCCAACTCGAAATTACCCTACCTAACCCGATTGCCAGGTCTACTAAAATCTCGACCCAATTTTCAAGTTGCTTTGTCCAAGTAAATTGACTTTTTTATCCAATTACTGCATTTTTTTAGGATTTCAACCAAGGTCGTCTAATCTGTATCCGGCCAATTCAATCGTGTAAGATCGAAACCGATCATCTAAATAGTTGGAATACACTTTGATTGGACGGTTCTGGAAAAAAAAATCCAAAACCTGGTTAAACCAATCAAAACCAGATTAAATCTGTTAAAGTCTGACTAGTCAAAACCAAGTTTGAAGATGGGAATTGATAAATTTATAATATATATTTCTTTTGAAAAAATATATGTGGTAATATATGAATGTAGATTTTTTCCCACAGACAATATGTATATATATATATACAAAGTCGGAAGAAAATTAACTCAAGAAGAGAATATAACAGGGCTTTGCACGCTACTTGAATCGGGCCCAATTGTACACTTTTTATCCCCATTTCTCTTTGACGTTTGTTGCATTTGGGCTCCAAAAAGGGGGTGGTTTTACGCTAGTTTTCGTGTGTTTCAGTATGTTTCAAATTCTAACAGGTGAAACCAACCCTGCAGTCCAAAATTTGGAAGAAAAGGAGGAAACAACCAGTGTTCAAGGTCGGCCATTGGAGTTCAAGGTCATACAGGACCGTGAACTGGATCCATAACCCATAAACAAAGGAGCATCCAGAGAGGGTTTTGAGGTTACTGACGCCAGGGTTGTTCACGGTCGCTAAGACCGTGAACATAAGCCACAGACCGTGAACCCAGGGATGTGAAGCGGTGCGTTTTGGTCTCAGCACTTAGTTCACGGACGCGTTTCAATGTTCACTGCTGTGAACTGAGGTCTAAAACCTTGAACTGATCATCGCGTCCTTGTACTAAGACCTTGAACTGATCAACGTGTCCTTGTACTAAGACCTTGAACTGATCTACGCGTCCTTGAACTAAGACCTTGAACTGAGGTCTAAGACCTTGAACTAAGTGAATTGAGGTCTTAGACCGTGAACAGAGCCCTATCTGGGTATAAAAGGAGAAGGGAGCTGAAGGAGAAATGAGAGCTTTAGGTAGGGTTTTAGTTTTCAAAATGAAAAGAGTTTCTAGTGAGAGATTAGGGTTTCCCATTCCCATTCTAGTAAGAGAAAGTTACACTCAAAGTAGGAATAAGGAGATTGGGCTTAATTCAAGCTAGGGTATTGAAGATTTATTCTTCTCAAGGGAGATTCAAGCAACAAGGGAGGAAGATTTCCACCTCTCCATGGTTCTTTCTCTCCTTTTTGTTGTTTTTCTTTTCCTAGCTATGGATTAGCCAACCTATTCACTTGGGTGTTGTAAACTCTAGCTACAATTATGTGAATGCTTGTATGAATTGAATGATTTGTGTGTGTGGTTTTGTTTTAATGTGAATGTGGAGGTATTATTCAGAAATGATTGTGTTGTATGAAAGCCTATCAATCTAATTGTCATTCTAACCTAGCTTAGAGAGGAGACCTCCTTAGGTTAGGAGGTTCATTGAGTGTTCTTGGGCATTTCATGCCTCCTAGGCTAGTTTAGAGAGGAAACCTCCTTTACCCAAGAGGCTCGGTTTCCTTGGGCATTCAAAGCTTCCTAAACTAGTTTAGAGAGAACTCTCCTTAACCTAAGAGGCTCATTCGAGATGGGTTTCCTTGGGCATTTAATGCCTCCTGAGCTAGTTTAGAGAGAACCCTCCTTAACTTAAGAGGCTCTATTAGAGATGGGTTTCCTTGGGAATTCTATGCCTCCTATTCTACGTTAGTTAAAAGGCAAACCTCCTAATTCGCATTAGTACTTAGGGTTTGGTTGCGGGTGGCCGTCCAAACTCCAATTCGAGTGTGAAGTCTAACCATTCCTTAGTTGATAGGTTGAGAGGGTCACATTAGTGGCTTGGATCCTATCTCATTCCTCAACCTAGAGGCTAAGAGGGTAGCTTTTGTTGCTTGTTAGACTACAATGCGGTTTATGACCCCCTAACCACACACGGTCATTCGATTCTTCAAGTCGTAATTGTTAGCTAGGGGGCAACACCCGAGTGAACTCTTCTCTCATTGGGACAGCCTTGATTTACTTTACTTACTTGTTTTCATTTGTAGGTTTATTAGTTTTAAACTCAAAACCATTTGGCTAGATAACAACTTAAGCGATTGAAGTAGAGGTACATGGACCCGGGTCAACTATTTAAATACTTGCCCTATACTGCACCTGACTAGAGTTTAAAAACTTGGACTCTAGTCGGGATTAATTCGTGGTGTAGTTTCGTGCGAGTCAAGTTTTTGGCGCCGTAGCCGGGGATCCGCGGTCCATTATTTTGAAAAGATCGTTTAGTGTTACTCTAGCATTTTCTATCTTGCCTTTTTGTTTGTGTTTTATGTTGTGTTTTGTTTACCCACTCTTCTATTATAAGGGTGGTTTGTGTTTGGGTGAATTTGTTTTTGCGTTTTTGTTTGTGTAGGTTATGAATTATGGATCCCAATGGCTTCTACAATATGTGGGGGTATTCACAACCACCCGAATGGGGGTACCCCAGAGCTTCATGGAGCGAACGAGAAGGGGGAAGCCAAGGATCCAGGTTCTATTACCAACCCCCCTTTCAAGAAGAACAACCATACCATTGGGGATATGAAGATTCTTCCCCATATCAAGAAGATTTCCCTCTACAACGCGAGGAGAAATCCAAGTTAGATTTGGCCATGGAAGCCTTCATGGGACAACCATCAAGACCCGGGGTACCGACGAGGGATGCTCCAATTTGGACCTTCCCATCGCCATCCCTATCAACCCAACCTTTCTTTGGGATTCGGAGGAGCTTCATCGATGCACAAAGGGGCAAGGAGAGCTTGTTGAGCAAGCATGTGCACAACTTGCTCGCAATCACCTCCTGTCATTTGAAGAATACAAAGAGGAGGTCGAAGAGGCAAGCCATGAGACCCTTGGAAGAATGGGCTCTAGCATGGATTTCCAACCCCTCCCTCCTCCTCCCGGTTTGACACTAGAAGAGAAAGTGGCACGAGCTTGTGAAAGCTATCGCCTCTCATTATTAGAGGAGAAAGAGGAGGTTGAAGGGACGCTCAATGACACCATGTGGAGCTAGAGGAACTCACCCCAGAGAGCTCTCATGGTGAGGATGAATAAGAAGGTTGCATTGACGACTCCCATCATCTTCCCCTTCCCGAAAGCAAATTTGAAGACCAAGACACGAGTGTGGAGGAGCAAGAGAATCCCTTCTACGACCTTGCATGGCATCTTGCCCTCAAATTCGTGCTTGGAGACATGAATGGGAAGGAGAAAGAACAGATTGAAGAGGAGGAAGTGAGCATTGAAGAAGGGGAATACCTTGATCCTTCCCAATGGGAGGAAATTGAAGAAGGAAGGGAGGTTGAGGAAGAAGGAGAAGAAGCAAGTGGTGTCCAAGATGAGGACGAGGTCGAGGTGGATGAAGCATCCACAACTTACAAGTTCTACCAATGCTTTCCACCCGACCTCGATGCGCTTTTGGAGAATGACTCGTTTGCGGATCTTTGCTAAACCAAGGTCAAACCATCGGAGATCCCTCTTGGTGGATTCAATGGTGGTAAATCAATGATGCACTACATGGTATGGGGCAAAGAGAAAGGAGAAGAATAGGTCTTGTGGGTGGAGCCTCAAAGTCGATTAATTTCACGAGCCCCTCAATCATGAACTCGTCAAATGCTCATGACTTGAGATTTCATCTCACCGACGATAACCTCAACTTCAAGGAGTTTCTTGGGTGGTTCGAAACTTGAAGAGCAACTTTCCGGATCACGATGTTAAAGAAGCGCTTGTTGGGAGGAAACCCAACCGCCATCGATTTATTTCTTTTTGGCTTCTATAAGTCAACCCTTTGTTTTGCCACCCCCTTGCTCTTTCGGATCTCATCCGCCCCGCGCTTCTGAACACCAACATTCACCACTATCCGGTAACATCGTTCTACCTCCTTCTTTTACGCCATTGAGGGAAATGTCGAGCTTAAGTGTGAGAGGGGGGGGGGGGGTAGTCCATTATACATGTGTGTGTGGAACCTTATGCTATGTTTGCCACCACCCAAAACGAATTTTCCCCATGTCCTAGACCCTAGCCAGTCATTCGAACCAGTGTCTAAGACCTCCGGACAAGCTAGCAACGACACACATCTTGTGATCTCTAGCATTTAGAGGCTACCATCATGGTAAAGGGACGTTAGGATTGAGCGTGAATATGCACATCTTTTGCATCAAATGGTCCTGATCCCACTGGTCGAGAGTGAGTGATTCATTCATCATGTTTTGTTCATTTCTTATACCCCCGGTGAGGACCTAGGTTGCTCGATCGTTCATTCTTACGATGTGATCTTCATGCATGAGTAACTGTGATTGGTGATTCGTCGAGGCATGTTGTGTGTGGGTTCGTGAATAATGTGAGAACTCTTCTTTTGAACAATCTTAATACAGTTGAACCCATTTGTCGTAGTTGCCATGATTACTTTGTTTTTGTCCATAAGTCGGTGTCAAATAACCATTGTGATTCATTTGTTTTATACCCTATGACATCCCCCAAAAATTCTGTTGAAAAAGAAGTTGTGAGCTTACCTTGTTTTGTACTTGGTTTCCTTGGGAACAAGCAAACGTCTAAGTGTGGGGAAGTGATTGGGGCCTAATTGTACAGTTTTTATCCTTGTTTCTCTTTGACTTTTGTTGCAATTATGCTCCAAAAAGGGGGTGGTTTATGCTAGGTTTCGTGTGTGTCAATGTGTTTCAGATTCTAACAGGTGAAACCAACCCCGGAGTCGAAAGCTGGAAGAAAAGGAGCAAAGAGGAGGAAACAGCCTGTGTTCAAGGTCTGCCATTGGAGTTCAAGGTCTGCCATTGGAGTTCAAGGTCTTACGGGATCGTGATCTGGAGCCATAATCTGTGAACAAAGGAACTTCCATAGAGGGTTTTGAGGTTACTAACGCTAGGTTGTTCACGGTCTCTAAGACCTTGAACATAAGCCACAGACTGTGAACCCAGAGATGTGAAGCGGTGCGTTTTGGTCTCAGCATTGAGTTCACGGACGCATTTCAATGTTCACGGTCGTGAACTGAGTTCTAAGACCTGGAACTGATCAACGCGTCCTTGAACTAAGACCTTGAACTGAGGTCTAAGACCTTGAACTGAGTGAACTGAGGTCTTAGATCGTGAACAGAGCCCGATCTGGGTATAAAAGGATAAGGGAGATGAAGGAGAAAGGAGAGCTTTAGGTAGGGTTTTAGTTTTCAGAATAAAGAGGGTTTCTAGTGAGAGATTAGGGTTTCCTCTTCCCATTCTAGAGATAGAAAGTGACACTCAAAGGAGGAAGAAGGAGATTGGGCTCAATTCAAGCTAGGGGTTGAAGATTTCTTCTTCTCAAGGGAGATTCAAACAACAAGGGAGGAAGATTTCCACCTCTCCATGGTTCTTTCTCTCCTTTTTGTTGTTTTCCTTTGCCTAGCTATGGATTAGCCTACCTATTCACTTGGGTGTTATAAACCCCAGCTACAATTATGTGAATTCTTGTATGAATTGAATAATTTGTGTGTGTGGTTGTGTTTTAATGTGAATGTGGAGGTATCATTCAGAAATGATTGTGTTGTGTGAAAGCCTATTAATCTAATTGTCATTCTAACCTAGCTTAGAGAGGAGACCTCTTTAGGTTAGGAGGTTCATTGGGTGTTCTTGGGCATTTCATGCCTCCTAAGCTAGTTTAGAGAGGAAACCTTCTTAGGTTAAGAGGCTCAATATTGAGATGAGGTTTTTGGGCATTTCATGCCTCCTAGGCTAGTTTAGAGAGGAAACCTCCTTTACCCAAGAGGCTCGGTTTCCTTGGGCATTCAACGCTTCCTAAACTAGTTTAGAGAGAACCCTCTTTAACCTAAGAGGCTCATTCGAGATGGGTTTCCTTGGGCATTCAAGGCCTCCTAAGCTAGTTTAGAGAGAATCCTCCTTAACTTAAGAGGCTCTATTAGGGATGGGTTTCCTTGGGCATTCTATGCCTCCTATTCTAGGTTAGTTAAAGGGAAAACCTCCTAATTCGCATTAGCACTTAGAGTTTGGTTGTGTGTGGCCGTCCGAACTCCAATTCGAGGGTGAAGTCTAACCATTCCTTAGTTAATAGGTTGAGATTGTCACATTAGTGGCTTGGATCGTATCCCATTCCTCAACCTAGAGGCTAAGAGGGTAGCTTTGGCTTCTTGTTAGACTTCCCTGCGGTTTATGACCCCCTAACCACACACGGTCATTCGATTCTTCAAGTCGTAATTGTTAGCTAGGTGTGAAACACCCGAGTGAACTCTTCTCTCATTAAGAAAACCTCGATTTACTTTAATTACTTGTTTTTATTTGTAGGTTTATTAGTCTTAAACCCAAAACCGTTTTGCTAGATAACAACTTAAGCGATTGAAATAGGGGTACATGGACCGGCCTAGTTCGACAATGTAAATACTTGCCCTATACTGCACCCTACTAGAGTTTAAAAACTTGGGCTCTAGTCGGGATTAATTCATGGTGTAGTTTCGTGCGAGTCACTACTGTATGGGCATCCCTATTTTCCGTTTGAGGAACTGCCCTGAACTCTATACAAAATGACACAGAGTGAAAGAGCTTAAGACAATCGATAAGCATGTGCTTGGAGAAACTAATGAAAAAATCATTTTGGAATCACCTTCCACGATGACACTAGGCAGGTTCTTGGAGATGATAAGCGAAATGGCATTATCTAGCTATAAGTAGTTCTATCAAGTAGGGACCAGCTACTCCAAAGTGTTAACCTCTACTGCCAACACGACATGTCTGTCTACCCCACAAACAACTAGGTCAACCGAGCAACCAGAGTTACAAACATATGCATCATAGTTGATCTTCAAGAAATCTCGAGGGGGAGGCTCCCAAAGGGCAGAACGTCGAGAGGCAAGGACAAGGGACTAGAGAGTAGGGAACACAGAGGACACTTCAAGAACTTGGAAATAACACTGACGAGCTAGAGAACAGGCATGTGGTTGATAATGTTCAAAGACCACCTTATTACAAGACTTCCATATTCTCCACAATACACTGACGTATTGGAGAATGTGGGATTGGGGGAGGAAAGACAGAGCAGGGGGAGTAGCTGCTTATAACGCATAACATGTCAGCATTAGAGATTGAAATTCACAGTCGCGGCTGAGTTAATAAAATAATTTAAACCCATGAGAAACTTCAAATGGGTGTCCAAGGATCATTTAAAGAACAAGTGTTCAATACTCTTACAATGTCTTAATATCATATGTATATAATATGTCAAATATATGCATAGTCTATTTGGCATTAGAGATTTTCTCATATATTTTATGTTAAAATCGATTTGAACTGGTTGAACTCGATCCGACCATGAAACCTCAAATCACTTGTCAAATCGACTTGAAGGCTTAATTTAGTTTGACAACCTTGAATTCAACTCATTTCTCTCTCACGTCGTATATCCTAAAAGAACTCTTCTCTCTCTCTCTCTAGTTCAAACGCTCTCTCCTTTCTCTTAATTTTCTGTCCTTTTTTGCCTTCTTCTCACGAGTGTCGCCATTCACTTGCCATTTCACTATGCTTTCACTTTTATTTGTTACTAGACAAGACCCGCTCGCTTCGCTTCGCGAATAAGTGGAATACATATTATGATACATCTATTTGGTAAGAAAGGAAAGTAGGACATGACATTAAGTAATTCGAGGAAAATAGATAATTATCTTCAACAGATATACTATACATTAAAGGAAAGTCCTAAATAGCTCAATAGTTCATAGTAAGTAGTCCATTCTTAGTAATAACAAAGTGGATCCCATAGCGTGATAATGTGAAGAGTCGGGTATAAGTTATCTTTCCTCATAATTGGCTGGACCTCTGCTGTAAAAATTTTGTCTTGTATAGATGCCATGCGAGCAAGTCTTGTTTCTTTTGTCATATTGAAAAATTCTTAAGAAGAACATTTCAAGAGTGCAGTTGATGCATTGTGCTCAAAGACGAAATTGGATTTTGTGAACCGGTCCTCGCACAAAACTCCAAATTCAAAGCTGAAACAAAATGAGATGGCCTGAGCATGTATACTTTTTAATAATTTTCATTTTTGCATTACACACATACCTATCATATTCATAAACATTGGATGGATCTTTGGGAGGGTACATTGATTGATTTGGATGGATGCAGATTATTCTAAGGAGCATCCAAATAGTGAACTGAAAAATAAAAAAACATCATTAGATCAAATATGAATTCATTTGTATATTTAGTGATATATATGCATAAGAATAATATAAGCACATACATTATATGGTGGGTAGAGTTCATCCAATTTCAAATGCAGTGCACGTATTGTTGTTTTTATGGTATTTCACCACGAACAAACTGAGGATTTATACCATTTGAGGAGCCTAGCTTAACAGGATGATGAATATGTGCAAACCTAAAGACATATTTGGTTAGATTCAGATCATGAATTAGTTATAAATATAAATCTAGCATCATAGTAAGTCATTACCTGTCCTTGATTTCTTTGAATCGATGTGTGTAGTATCCCTTGATAATACGGGTTCCTCTAGTGTTCAGCAAGCATAATGTTCTTGTATAGGATTAATCAAATTATACTTGCTAAAATTTACATGTATCCTATTCAGAGGCAGATAATTTTATGAAAGGGAAAACTATGAGAACCTTTGATCACTATAAGTTGCATTGCAGTGAAGACTAACAAAACAGGCCCAGCTAACTCCATTTGCGCTATGGTTGGTTCGTTCAAAATAGTGACTGGTGGAGTGATTCTAATCATGACAGTATTGCCACTTCATGGCAATAAAAGTAAGTAAGAACATCCCAATGAAATCTTTTGTAATCTATAATAAATTCAGTATATGGATTAGATAGACATACAAACAATCTTCTATTGTCGCTGATGTAGTCAGTTCAGAAACCATTTCTTCTTGTTCGAATGATATGCTCAACAATCGACCCATAACGCCTGTAAACAGAATATGTATTTTAAGTCATGCTAGAGTTTCTCATTAGATTTAAAGTCAATAAGTACCTTTCAGATTGTCCTGCAAATTGAGGTGATTGCTCAATTCTGGGAATGGTGTTGCTTCGAATCCAATGGAAGGAAACCAAGGATAGGGAGGCAATTCATCCAGTTCTTCAAATTTAGTGTTTTTCGTGATCTGAAGTCGAAGAGGATTACTGCATGTTGATCTAGATGCTCTCTTTGGTCTGGTTACACTACAACACACCATGTAAATTTGGCCTACCCATAAAGACGCTGTTGGTTCATCAGTAATACTACTAATAATACAGCCTTCAATTAAATCTTCCTGGATAGTAAAAAAAGCAAGTATAAGAAGTTGGGCAAAAAGTTTGCTATTCTGTATGGTAAATAATTGATTGAGATTTACATTTTTGTAGATCCAGACCGTTTGAACTTCATGATTAGGCAAGCAATTTGGACATGGTTCATCTATCCATTTACTGAGAAGACGGAGAATTACTGGTTCTTTGTTCAAACCTAGATGAAGAGATTTGATTGTCAACAACGCGTCTACCAGATCTGGATTGAAACACATGGAACCAAAAGTTACTGGAAAGATTAGAATCATTATCAGAATATGATAGAGTGAAAAATTCATAACCTCTAGGAGTCCATCTCGGATTGTAGTCTACTGCCATTAAGAAAAGTGCGTACTAAGATCGGCTGGTATATGAAAGAATAGATAATGGAGGAATCGAGTGCAAGGATTCGTTTTTCCTTATTTTGCATATGTTTCCAGAATGTAGTGTGAGAAGACAATAAGGATTTGTTTAGTAAATAAGTGGAATAGGGAGACTTATATAGTAGCGTTTATAGCTTTGATCTTTAATACGTGTCAATCTACGCAAAAGGAGTATGAATATCTTATATAGGAACATATTGTACTGAATAACTCCAAAATATCCTATTTCAAAATTAGTATCAGTATTTATCTTTTGTTAAATATTTTAAGAATAATAAATACTGGAAACATATGGGTGTTTCTTAACAATAAAAATCCACAAATTTTCATTAATTATATAAATTAGAAAGAGTAATAATCTATGATAATTTAAATTTACAAAATGATTTAAGATTAAGGTTGTCAATGTGCGGGTTAACTTGGACCTTATCGAATTAATAGGTCAAAGGTTAACAATTCCTATTCTATTATTTATAATTTAAGTTATTTCAAGTTATATTTTCGAGTACCATGTTAATATAAAACCCTATTATTTCAGAAAATAGTCAAGCGATATATAAATCAAATTAGTAGAAATACGATATTGCTAACAAACAAAATTAAGATAATAAAAACACAAAGTAAAAAAATTAATCACTTTTTTTTTGTTAAATAGATATACTTTTCTTGAGGTTATAAATCCATAGATCATATAAAGCGAGAAGATCCATCCATACTACAAAAATATATATTATCATACATAGAGTGACAACCGATATTAGTAGTAGATAATTAATATATACATAACTAACATCAAAATACCAGGATAGCTAAAGAAAAAGAAACAGAGTTTTTTACAGAAATTAGAGGAACATGTTCTGAATAGATAACATACATAATTATAAATAAGTCGTACTGACAAAATAAGTTCCAAGTAGGGCAGTTTTTAATCACACGAAGGTATTAGAGTTCCAGATTGAAGCAATTCGGATAGTAGGAAGTTTTTCTGAATTCCCAGGAGCAATAAAAGCTTCTGCCACAAATGGCATATAACACCTGTCTTCAATGCATTAATATGCTTCTTCATAGGTTAAACTGAAAAGTTTCTCAGGCGAAACACAAACCAAGCCCAACACAGCTTCATGATCAAGGATAACATCAACAAAATCGCCTTCACATTGACATGTCGCATCTAATTCATATCGTACCCTAAATTAAATAATAAAAGGAACACTTTCAGTTTTCTTAAATGCAATAGACAACAGACTATTAGTAAAACATAAAATTGAATCATACCTTGGAAAACCTGAACTTGATTTGTAGACTTCTGGACCATAGGTAAACCTTGACACTTCCAGCACACAACGATAGTGAGTCTAAAAGAAGAATTTTTTTATAATAGGTTAATATATTACTATAAATTTGGGATATGTGTGATCCAATAGAATTAAAACATACAATATTATACATGTACCTGGTAGTTCTGTGAACGGAACATAATATCGTCTTTTAGTTGCCGGAGTGTCCTTTTGGGAGGAAGAAGACCACGAAGATAGCCAATAGAGCAGTGAGAAGCACTATTAATGTAAGTCACTGGCACCCGATCACCTATGAACCTAAAACAACAAAAAGAATGTATGTATTTTTTGTTTACATCCAACAGAGTAGTTTTAATAATATATAAACATAGAATTCTAATATAATCATACCTATTTATGAGTTTTTCATAATGGTGATTATAGGAAGCAATGATCAGACGACTCCTAGGTGAAGATTGAAATGCATATGCATCTTCATTGCTACCTGTAACGGGAAGCCTTGTAACAACAGTAATAGTGGTAATGAGAGGAAGCCGAGATTCAGAATCCCCTGCAAGTTCCAAATATTTTGTAACCTCAGATCCAGAGTAATACACTGTCGCCCTGTCCCCTCTACACAAAATAAAAAAAATCAGTTAATCCCACATAAAAGTCCAACAAACAAAAATCAACATAAGAACACACAAGACACCTGCAGTCTTCTATGACGAGCTGAAATCCGAAAACATTATTAGTTGAGACCTCTGGAATTGTTAGATGAACAACACAGCCTATAACATCTGTAATAAAATTAATAGTAAGTAAATAATTCTAAACAATTTTTATAAAAACAACTTCCAAGGAAAATACCTCCATAATTCACAACTGTCTCTGCCTCTATTGGAACAGCTGAGAATGAAGTTTTCATAAAATTGTTGATAGGAAACTTGGGATAACTCTGATTGTCAGGCACGCAAAATATAATCTGCTGACTCTTTAGGGAAAAGCGAACTTCAGCAGAACAACATGTTTGTTTTCCCTTGCAGGGATTACATGAAATCCATCCAGAAAATGTAAATCGCCGACCTTCAACTTATCATGGATTTCTTCAATGTCATCTTCTTCAATACATGCCTCTAGCATACGTTCCTCTTAAATGTAATTTAGTTAATCACTACAACCAACACACAAACAGTAAATATTACAATATATAGATCAATGACAAACCTCTTTGTCAAGACACAGCACATGCATTGTTCTTCTACGTTGTGGAGAGTCGTCACTATACTCAATCCACACATTAAGAACTCGGATTATCATAATATCTGTATAAACACCAATCCGCAGTCCACGAAAGACAATGCATGTGGAAATTGGGTCTGTAATAAAGAACAGATAACCAAAAACCCAAAACCTAAGACTTCAATAGTTTTCATTCACAAACCAACAAAGAGAAAGTTCAAATACAAAGTAACTGAGCATGATACCTTGTGGAAGAGTTGGAAGTTTGAAATCACGAGGCATTATACAACGATGACTGATATAAAAAGACAATAAAAGGTCAAAGATTGGTTCAAATGTAAAGAAACAAAGACAAAATACAGAAAGAAAAACCATCGGGAATCATACCTCATGAATATATAACTAAGCAACTCTGATCTGGAAGTTGCGAAGTACTGTAGCCTCGGGGAAAAAGAGTTCAAAGAACAGAGGAAGTTGAAAAGGTAGAGTTAGAACTGAAATGAAAAGGCGGTGGAAGTTGGTCCCTAAACGATTACTTACCACTTATAAAACTCGGACATTGGAGATCCACTGGGCCATAAATTGTCCACTTAATGGACCGAACCATGACCCTATAATAGTCACATGTGAAATTTTTGTATCTGATATCCATTATAGACTGGGCCCCCAGAAAACTATAGAAATTCAATATAAGCATAAAACAATTTCTTATCCGAGCTAAATATGACAATATTGGGCTCAATTGACATATCTGTTTATATCCTAAAAGATGGCCCATTATGTATATAATTGTGATGGATAGTAATTCAATTAATAATTAATACATGTATATTTGTCTAAATAAATTGATGGATATTACAAAATACCTTCATTTTTTTCACTATCATATGAACGAATTCAAGACACGAAATTACATAGAAATTAGATAGAATAGATTATGAAATTAATTTCTTTATCCTTTTAATAATTGGTACATCGATACCACTAAGATTCAATTTCCATCATTATTGTTTCACTTTGGACATAATACAGTTTTAGTCTAAGAAAGATATACGAGTGGAATTTGTAGATATCCTTTTGTCTTAAAGACGATAAATTACAAAAACTGAAAACAAAGAAAATAAGGTTACATGTACATTGCTAATAAACACTACTAAAACTGCCAGGATTTTTTCCAAGGCTCCAATCAACAATAGAATTGGAATTATTGTATCAAATTTCTGCGTAGTATTATCCATTATAAAAGAATTTTCTACCATTTGACTTCATATGACCTAAGGATTCGAACCATTGATAGTTCGCAAAGAACTATACCGGTGTTCAAGACCGGAGCTATCAACCACTCGACCATCTCTCCGAAATATATTTTCTATTTTAGTATTTTTTTTATTCTGCCGAATAGAAATAGAACAAGGCTCTTAGGAGTTGATACTATCACTGTACTATTACCACTTATAAAAATCGGACATTGGAGATCCACTGGGCCATAAATTGTCCTCCTAATGGACTGAACCATGACCCAATAATAGTCACTTATGAAATCTTTGTATCTGATATCCATTATACACTGGGGGCCCCAGAAAACTATAGAAATTCAATATAAGCATAAAACAGTTTCTTATTGTGGCTAAACATGATAATACTTGGCCCAATTAACATATCTAATTATATGCTAAAAGACAGCCCATTATTTATATAATTGTGATGAATAGTAATTAAATTAATAATTAATACCTGTATATTTGTCTAAATAATTTGATGGATATTACAAAATACCTTAACTTTTTTCACTATCATATGAACGATTTCAAGACACGAAATTACATAGAAATTAGTTAGAATAGATTGTGAAATTAATTTCTTTATCCTTTTAATAATTGGTACATCAATACCACTAAGATTCAATTTCCATCATTATTGTTTTACTTTGAACATAGTACAATTTTAGTCTAAGCAAGATATACGAATGGAATTCGTAGATATCCTTTTGTCTTAAAGACGATCAATTACAAAAACTGAAAACAAAGAAAATAAGATTACATATACATTGCTAATAAACACTACTAAAACTGCCAGTCTAAGTCCTAAACAATACGTGAACATAATGGACTCCATAGAACAGTCACAGTCATATGTCTATTTCCTTGGGAACATTCTGAGATAGATAGTTCTACAGTAAAATATTTTCCTCGTATTCGCTCAATCTTTCCCTCTTGCTCAAAATGTTGAAGAATACTGAAATCTTGAGCTGACATTTGCAACAATTGAACCATTGCCGAATGGCCAAACTCAATACTTTCACTATCTACGAAATCTTTGCAAAACACTAATGCATCATACCTGCATTCAATAAAAAAGGTACATCACTACTTATAGATGACAAAAAAGTAACAAAAGGTAAAATTTATTCTAACATACCAATAAACGGTATTTTCTTGTCTCACTATTCCATGATCTGCAATAAAATCCTCAATTTGTACCAAACACCAATATCTTGCCTACATGGAACTATATCAATATCAGAGAAAGAATTTTATTCAATTTAACTTATCAAACAATGTAAAACAATATACCTCAAGATTGATATCAGCATTAGAAAGGAATGTACGCATCATCTGTAAGGTAACCACAACTGGCAAAGGATCTCTAAAGCAAGAAACATTCCTTGTTCTTGTATGTTCAAGTATCATAATCGGTCTATGCTCATGAAAATATCTATTAAGAAACTTTGGTCAATCATTAATACTTTATATTTGAAATATAAGAATAATTCAAACCATGAACTCTATACCTAACCTGTTCAACAGTGCCCTATATCGATGCGTATACGAACCACGTATCAAGCGTATTGCATTTGTGCTCGTGAGGAGCAGATTAACTACAACTTATCCAAAAATTCCTTAATAATAATGATAAAATAACAAAACAAACACATAATAATGACATAATTATGAATTCTTACAATTGGGTTCAGGCTCATAAACCAAGATACTTGTGAATGTAACAACCACTGGATACATCATTTCTTGAATTTCAACCCACGAATAGAAATAACTTTATATCTGAACAATTTTCAATTATAAATACAACAATTATGACAATAGAAATGCATATACAAACCTCTTTGTCAATCCATAGTGTATACATAAACTGATTTGCTTCAGTTCCAATATATTCATCAGAATACCAAATATGAATGAGTCGAAGTATAATATGGCCCGTCATAAATTCCCCTTCAAGATCTCTAATTACCGATGATGTGACAATTGGATCTAAAAGCAAAGAAAAATAACCATGGATTGAAAATTCAAACAACATATTCATAAAAGTTATTTTTCTAATAAGATATCAACATTCATTCCCTCTTACCATCTGGAGAATCAGAAAGCAAGTAATTTCTGGACATTTTGAGCAAAAACTATTGCTGATTTGCAGAAAGAGTTTAAGCAGACCTGAAACAAACAATGAAAATTAAATCTCACATACATAGATAATTAATAACAAAAAACATACTGAAAAGTTTGATCCATTATAAGTCAATTATGTATATTCCTCATTTCTTTTTAAGACAAATTCTGCCTCTATCTAATACAACTGACTACAAAGAACTTTTCTTACTCTAAATAGAAAGAATCATCAACTAATACACAGAAATGTAAAAGAAGTAGAGGAGAAGCATCACCTTAAAGCTTTGCAACTGAAATGAGTATTGCTAGAGAATTAGATTTAGAAGAAGACTCACTCCAAAACTCTAAAGCTTAAATGACTAATCTGAGACATTTGAGAAAACATAACAAATGAGTGGTAAAAAGGCGACAGCTGGAGACCATGCAGAGTGAAACTACTGCTTCTGTCAATCAACATTGCCAAGTGGTAATCAAAGTAGACCATCAATAGACAGATGGCAAACAAATGAATACCTTAGGTGGCTTAAATAACATATATAAATAATTATATATTTCCATTCATGAACAAAATATCTAAAACCCACTTTTGGTAATGATAAAAACACTAAAGAAAGACAAATGGATCTCCTATTTATGATATCAGCATAATTAATATATAACAAAAGATTCTTCACGCTTCATATTTATAATAAGGATCTTATCAATATATTGCCAACTATGCAAACATCTAATCCCATTAAGAAACTTTTCATTAGGAAAAGAAATCAAGCTCCACAGTAGTGCATATGAATTACTCCCCAGATGAAACTATATCTGCAAAAATAGCCAGCTTTTTTATATTAGAATACTAAAATAGAACAATATTACTATAATATAATTTAAAGGAATGAATACCATAGATCATGCTCACCTCATTTATTATATGATCGAATAAAAGTCACATATGGATCCACTCGGATTTCCGAAAGTAATCTATCTCTAGATCTGCAATAGTCATGTACATAAACATATATAATAAAACAATCTGATTAACACCTAAAAAAGACAATAAACAATAACAAAAAGAAAATACAAAATAAGATATACCATCTCGTAAGAGAAAAATCACTGCAATTAACATTTTCAAGACCAACAAATGCTTCTTGATACACAATATTGCGAGTATAATTCGATGGAATGCCTTTTTCATTAACAATCAGGAATCGTAATCCAGTAGCTGCTCTAACTCGCGATATGGCCACATAAAGTTGACCATGACTGAACACAGGTCTAGGTAGATACACACCAACACTATGGAGAGTCTGCCCCTGACTTTTGTTTATTGTCATTACATAACAAAGACATATTGGAAACTGTCGTCGCTTAAGTACAAAAGGCCAACGCGAATCATTGATATTCAAGACCACTCTAGGAATTGCAACAGTTCTGCCATCAAATGTACCACCCATAATCTTTCCTTTTATGACATAATGTCCCAGATAAACAATCATTAACCTTGTACCATTACACAGACCAATAGATGGATTTAAGTTCCTGAGGAGCATAATCAGTGTGAAAACTTTCAGATCAATTTGATGATCAGGATATCATTGAAAGATAATCCATTAAGAAACTCTATAGGATACTCGGCTTCAAGAAGATCTGGATTACTTGCATCTGTCACCAATGTATCACTACTGAAATAACTCCGTGAAATTCCCAAAATTAAAGAGAGCATGTGAGCATTAATCTATGTTACATCCTGGTTTGTTGGTGTCACAATAGATCTTTCAGTCATATATGAGACATTATGAAAATGCTCTATGAAGTCAGTGTATATCTCAGATGCAATTTTCTGAATAGGCATTCTTGTGGATTCAATAAAAAAAGACTCAGGTATTTCAATCCAGTCAGCTGGTTGATTTTCTCCAAATGATCTACCTGGTATACTTCCATTACCAACAGATAAAGTCCAATCATTGAAGTTCATTCCATGGAAAGCTCTATGTCGATTTGCAGACGAAGAAATGACACGCATGTTTCTGGTAAGATGCAACACGGTACAATAATTCCACAAGTAAGACCGAGTCAATGATGCATCAATAGTTTCCTCTTTTCCAACATCTGCAACAATTGGCAATGTCTGACGAAAATCACCACCTAACTTGACGGTTTTACCTCCAAACGGTTTATAGTTCTCACCACTAAAAGGAATGTTCATAATATCACAAAAAGCTCTATCGACAGCCTCAAAACACAATCGATGCACCATGGGAGCTTCATCCCATACTATAAGAGCCGCATCAGCAATCAATTGAGCAAGGGGAGTACCTTTCCTTATATTACAAGATGATCGATAGTCAATTTCAAGAGGGATCTTGAACTTTGAATGAGCTGTGCTTACATCAGGAAGTAGTGTTGCAGCAATACCCCAAGAAGCAACCACAAGAACAATCCTTCCAAGTTCTTTAAGGTGCGCCAACATCACCTTATAGAGAAATGTTTTACTAGTTCCTCCATGTCCATGTAGGAAAAAAAATTAAGTCTATCCACCTCTACCGAATTAATCGAATTAATAACTGAGTGGAAAGCAGCCTCCTGCTCTCTATTCAAATCAGTTATGAGAGGAGATGACAAGGAAGAAGATCGTGGCATAAATGATTGCACGTCATTATCAAAACATGAATGAACATCTTCTGGACGTGATGTCATTGTTGGAAGAGGCAGATTAAATTGTGAAAGCGTAGCAGAATAGCCATCTAACATTCGCTGCAACTCCAATAACAATTTATTTTTTGGCAATTCTTCAGGAATCAAATGATTGTTGAATTTGACATCACGTTGGCATTGATAGGTAATATCATCTGAAAGCAATTCCATGTCTTGTTGAATAGACCTAATGCATCAGACAACTCGCAAAACATTAACATTGTAACAAAGAGATACCTCAAAAGACTACACATCCCCCATTGGCTCACTTCCTTTATCACAAGCAACCATTCATCATCATTTGATAGTAGACCTAGACGTTGGCAAGCAGCTTGATATGTTCGACATAAGAAACCATTAACTGTCTGTAAATCAGCGTAACTGACCGCTCCACGAACTTTCGTCAACATCTGTCTAAGATAAAATGTATCCCCACATCCTGGATGAATATAGACAATTCGCCCAATTGCAAAACCCTTTTTCCTCCGATACCACATCTTTTTCTTTAAATTCCAGATATATTCATTTGGAGTTTCAGAATAGATCAAACTTCGAGCTTCCGGATCTCGTTGATTAAAAGCAAACCATTGTGTAAGAGTAGTCTATGAAACACCATTACGTGCAAGAATACGCGACAACTCTGTCTCTTCCTATAAGGAACTTGATGTCTCCCTTCAAGATGTACACACAAACGTTGTACTGCTGGTGTTCTCTCATGAATAGGAAACTCAAAAAGTCTCCATGCAGCCTCATAAGATAATAAACTCCGACAATCAAGGAATTGTTTGATTTCATATAGAGGTGGTCGTTGAATTGGCATATCAGATACACCAGAAGAATTCGGAACAGTCTCAGCAAGAACCATAGAACGGTCTGGACCTTTAGTAATATACTTGAAAAGATACTTAATCAACCGTCCTTGATGACAAACTTCGACATTTATATGAGCCTGGAAAAGCACCAGCAAATTCCTATTATAGGGGACTATATACCTATTATCAAGTATTGTTATCCCTTTCGTTGCTATTATTCCAGTATCACGCCTCCTATAAACCGTGTAACCAAATTGATCCGTAGTTGTCTCTGAATTGAACAATTTAGGAAAATACTTAGAACACGATCCATTCTTCATACACACATTAGCAGGATTATCATCCCCACATGGCCTATGGAGCATAAATTTTGTCACAGCCTCATAACCAAGAGGATCAACTTCTGGATCGGGTAATTCAGCAGAAACGGTAGCATCAATATCAGCGGATGTATGAAGTTTACTTTTTGCATCCAACCATAACAATATGTGCACATGTGGTAGACCTCTTTTCTGAAATTCAACTGTTTTTATACCTACACATACACACACACACACACATATATATATATATATATATATATATATGTTAAATCCTTAAAACTTAAGAAAACTTAAACAACCAATATACTATATATAACAACGAATACACAACAAAAACAAAAATTATAAATGAGATGCCAAAATCAAACCTGCAACTGTCTTCCCGAAAAAGTTTGTCCGAACTAATTCATCCTCTAAAGCATTTAGTTTCATTCGGAAAACTCGAGCAACAATCTGGGGCTTCAGCTCACTCTTAGAACCACAATTATCACGAAATGATTCCGTAATCTCAGGCCACTGAGAATTACATGTAAAGGTAATAAAAAGATCAGGACTACCATGATGATGAACAACAGCCATTGCATCTAGATATAATTGTTTCATATACCTCGCACTACCAGTGTGTGAAGATGGAAGCACAACATGACCTACATCATCACCAGTCATATCACCTCTATTGAATGCATCCGTAAGATCCTGGTATAATTCAGCTCGGAGATCATCTTGATGAGTCGTAGATAATGAAGTCGTTTTTGTTCAACAGTTGAAAAAGCATCGACAATATAATGTTGCAAAGCCTTCCCACCACGTAGCAGGGTCTGTCCTTCATCATCTCTATGCTGAAGCCTATAAGCATAATACTCTCGCTGAGTAACATACTTTCGTTTCAAAGTAGGAGGAACATTGACTGGATCGTACGGAATATTTACATGAAAACCATCTTCTCCATACGGAAATAACACTGGAAAATGCAAAGCATCATATTTAGGATGCACAGTGGTAATTCTCTTCAGCTCTTCAGAACAATGATCTACAATGAAATCACGTTCTTCTTCATCAGGAACAAAATCCCCCGGAATCAACCCTGCCAATTCAGAACCTGTTGGAAGATCATATTGCCTATTTGTCATATCTCTTAACCCAACAATTCGCAATTTCATATTCACCGTTGCTGGATCACGAAGTTGTGAACGAATTCTTCGGAAAGACTTTACTAACTCATTGGTGACATCGAACAATTTCATTAGACCAGACACAATCTCAGGTTTCAAGCAATTCTCTCCTGTATCAAACTGATGCAACCGATCTGAAAGTTCAGTCTCAGGATCATAAACATAAAGCTGTGAATATCGAGGCCTTCTTCCCTCCACTGGAAGTAAAGAACCTATCCGATGGTAATTTTCACCACAAATAACAAATGAATACGGACCTCGTCCTTGAGCAACTCGGGGATCCAACTGAGCACCAAATGAAGTAAACGAAAAAGCTTCATTATATGATCGAATATGTTCACGGAAATGCACTGCCATTGGTCCCCCATCAATACCAATTAATTCTTCCAGATAAGAAGGTGTCTGCTCCAAAAAAGGTAGACGAACACGACCTTGTTGACAACATAATGTGAAAACAGCAGAAGTAGAACGATGCCTTCCAAGACGTTCTTCATACCAGAAGCGAGCACCACAATA